CATTTGGTTATGGAGTTTTTCTATCAGGAGCGGCAGGGAATATGGAACAGAGATGTCGAAATTAAATCAGCATGCAAAGAAGCAAAGTATTCCATATCATCTAGAACACGTCAGAGACGCTTGATGTAAGTGTCTCATTTCCTTAAAAAAGCGCCTTTGTTTTAGCACATGGGGTATTGCAATGGCTTTGGAGGTATTTTTTGGGGGGTTAGAAGAGAAAATTTGGTTTCATTGACGCAAAAAATAAAACAAAGCAATCACAACGTCCAATCAGAGAAAAGGAGGATATCGAAAGAGTCAGTAAGAACGCACAGTAAAAACAATCAAACTGTCTGAAGGGCAGGAAAACGCGAGTGACCAATTCATAAAGCCGATTCTATCAGTACTTTACCACGTCTCAACTTCTTGGCTTGCCTGTCTCTTTTTTGCAGCCGCCAATCTTCAGTGAAGTTAGCCAGACCTTCCTTTCAAACATGCGGGAGCTATCTGGGTTTCTTATCATTCTCATGTATGCTGCCACTTTTCCGGGATCTGTCTTCATGCCAGTTCTCTCTGCCAGATCAGATTTCGTAGACAGATACAGCTTAACTTCACAAGTGAAACGTACAGCTTCACTTCTTGGCTTATACAGTGCCCAACCAAGCTGCAGGTCACTGCTAGAACTACTTACTCCGTGCTCGTGTTGTTGTTCGCCTCTAGATTCTAAGTGAGCTCTGTCAATATCCCCTTTGTTAACACTGAGGAATTTCTCCACCCAGTCTCTTTTAAGTCTATCATAAGCTGTATCAAAATTTCAGCGAATGTGGCAGTGCTCACCAATATCAAGGTGACTCTTTAGTTCACTGCATTTTTTAAAAACCATGTTGCAGCCTGGCTCAGAACCAGCGAAAAGACCATTCGATTATCCACCATCACTATTTGTTGTTGTCTTATGGAGCCGAGCTGCCTTGAGCGGGAAGAAGTTCTCATTTACAACAAGTCCTGTAGGACCCTGAGGCTTAACGATAAAATCTTGGTAAGGAATCAGCTTACCATGCCCAATACCATAAACTCTCCATATTCGCATTCCTTCCCCCTCAAACGTGAAGTTGTGAAAGAAATTAAAAACAATCAAACGAACAAAGAAACACACCGTTTCTAAAACACACCTTTGGGGTAGCATATGTTGTCCAGGTTCCTCAGGGTACAGTCAATCCTTTTTTTTTGGGAAACGTATTTGGGGCTGTCCTGGTGTACCGGTACACGGGGGAATTCCTATTGTTTTCATATCCATACATGGAGTTGTGACGCAGTTAGTTAATGTTTCGTTCCTTTGTGTACTGGTACACGAGGACACAACCACGTATTTGCTCTGTATCTTTCTGCAGTCTGTGCAGATTATTAGTAATTCACATATTAACGATTTCTGTCAAATCGACACTGGATTTTTAATTTTTAGACAGGAAAAATAGACAATAGGAATGTTAAAACTGGGATGGGGCACTGGGATCGGAACAAATTAAAGCTGGGAGAGAAAGATCCATACCCAACCATATCCATCTACTTTTCCCACCTATCCCCACCGCCCCCTCTTTTCGGGGGCCTCTAAATAACAACCCAGTTTCCCCTCTTGGAACGCTTCAGCAACAGTGAAAACCTCTGTTTCTTTTCTCGCTTTATGCTAACTCCCAATATAAGCCAAAGTAATATGTGTTATGGACTCACTCGCTTTTAAAATGTCCTGACGGATACAAAGTGATTAGATTGACAACAGTCCGTAATGAGAGTGAAACCCAGCGAAATCTACGTTTTAATTTGTTTGTAACGACTAAAACCAAGCCTTACCAGAAGCGTTTCTCTTCCCGGATTACCAGATTAGTTAAAACGACTTGAAAATTAATTAATTTTTACTTGCGCGAACCAACAGGCACAGTGTCTCCCATGATATTTTTTATTTCTCTTGCTGTATTGAAATTAACATCATGTGTTCCAAAAATCGCCGATTTTTTCCTTCATGTCTGGGACCTTGGCAAGTTTTCGGCGCTTGCCAGTACTTTCCTAGCCCGTGACGATGACCTGGACAAACCGTCATTTTTTCTATCCGCTCCTCAGTGATCTCCAACAAACCAACCCTTGCTGATATTAGGTCCTTTTCAGACACACTTTCCCTGAAAAGGTGGTTTTAATTAGATGCACATTAATATCAGAATTACAACACTTAAAGATACTGAATCTGTACCTCCTCGACTACTTTCACATTTGCCTCCCGAAATGTTTGGAAACGAACACGACGCGGCCCTTCTTCAAAGCAGCTAATGCGAATCTTCTCCATGAGAACTTTCAATTATACCCGTCGCAATGTAAATATTTTCGACGTGTTGAGTATAAAATTTGCATGTTACATTATTTGAAATAAGCTCAATTAACATAAAAGCTTACAAACGGACACAAAAAAAAAAAAAAAAAAAAAAAAAGAAAAAGAATAAGACATATCTTCAATGGAGTTACACTTTCGGTGCATAGTAAGGTAATGTAAGTTGATTAATTGCAGTAAAAAAGGTAATTTATCACTCTTATCGTTTACCATTTATTTCGACCATTCATTCATTTCGATGTGGTTAAAAATGAATCCGTGACATACCAGCGTGACACATGACTGAAATCAGCATTCTCGTAGCTCAGGTAACATGTAGTTGTCTTCATTATTACACCTTTTACATGAGCGTTTCTAAATCTGTAAATAACGACATTTTAATTTTTTTTACAACACAAGATGGTCAGGACTAACTAGATGGAATTTTGTCAACGTGTTTTTTACAGTCCGCCTGAGACAGTTTAGCATAATGTTACGCAGAAGACGTTCCTTTCTAACTTCGTAATTCATAATTTTCAGGCACGTTTTGATGAATTTATGGATTCCTCGCCATAAAAAAAAGCTGAGCTAGTTTTCAAAATAGACACTTCTTCAGATATTGATTTTGAACGAGAAAGGAAGTAACCACAAATATGCATAAATTAAGCCATGCGCACTTTGACCATGGAATGTTACCAAAGTTCATCGAGCTCCTGCAGGTGGAAAACACCAGTCCCCAAAAATGTTTTTCTTGGTTTTGAAACACTAGTCCAAGTGCTAAACACGGATAGTGGTCAGGACTCCAGATTCCATTATCCTTTTGAGAAAAACGTCTTGGAACTACAGCACGCTTGCTTAAATTTGAAATGGGCTGTCTGAGTGGTATTTTTGTTACAACGTAACTCTCAGTTATTGAGTCAGATTTTAGATATTTTGCCATCAATCAATAGAAGCGACGTAAAATTATACAACGTGTCCCTTTTTTGTCATTTGATAAGATGCGTCAAGTTTTAGACCCCTCAGCGAAAAGCTTAAAATTGACTCTGAAATAAACAATTTTCCTTGTCCTGGACCGTCCTTGCATATCATCGCTAAATTTTGGCGAAATAGCACTACGAACCAATTAAATCCGATATTTGCCAATAGAATAGAGTAATCATCTCACAGTGAAAATTTCAAAGAATCATGTGATCCGCCGAAATTCGAGTGATCGGTTCTTTCGCGGACAGCCTCTTAAACTCTTTGCGGTGGTCAATTTACGTTTTCAACTCTGTAATTAACACTAAATTACCCTATTATACTCTCCCACTGACGCAGCACCACACTTTCTATAGAAAATTACCTCCTTTATTCGTTTCACAATAAGTTGTATTTTTCAAGCAACTCCAAATAAGACAAATTAAAACGTTTCTTTCCGAGCGAGAGATCATTGTAGGAGCCACTGAGACGCAATTAATAAATAAACACTGCGAGCTTCGTGATGGTGATGGTGACAGGACAAGCTCTGCTTGCCGATAGGTTCCTTCGCGCATACCTCACATGAAAATTTCGTAGGAAGCTGTAGTTGTTTTTTTTCCGTGTGATGCAATACATCAGTCAGAATCATAGGTGGCGCAAGCCCGACTTGAGGACCAAGCGAAGTATGACCCCCTTTATTTGATAGAAAGAAAACAATGGCAGATGGCAAAAATAACAGTTCACCTCTGGGACTAATGCTTTCTTAAAAGCAGTTTGCAGTTTATCGGAAATAATTCGCCTAGATTTTTTTTTTCGAGTCGAAGCGGGCAATTAAAGTTAACTATGTGTTGCATTTATGTTCATTATGTTGCGTTTTCTTCGTTATGCGACTCTGTTAACGGTGGATCATGTTTTTGAACACCTGCCACGAGTGAATAGAGCACGTTTTGTTGCGTGATCGCTCAAAGATGTTGACGTTTCTTTAATTAAAAAGCTTATAGCTTGTTTAAATTAGCTGATATTCTCTAAATTACAAACACATCTTCGAGTGTGCTCCTTAAGATAATTTGCCCACTGAAACGACTGCGCTCAAGAGTAAGAGAGAAATAGAAAAATATTATCCCAGTTTTCCTCTGCAAAAAAGCAAAGTAAAGTAAGATCATCTCATTTTCTTGTTAAAGCATTGTTTTATTGATTAGTTTTTCCTTTAAACTCCAAAAATTGAAATAGTTTAGTGACGCATTGCTCTAACTTCCTTTTCCGATCAGTCACTTCAGTCGCACAACTTCGATATATGCCCAAACATTGGCCAATCAAAAGCGTTTCTCGTTTCTACAGAGACATCAGGTTGACATTGCAAAATAAGCCCGAGGAGACTAAAAGTACGCCACTCACATCCTTGATTCAGATTCGTCTAAATTGAAGAGCTGGATTATTCCTTATGAAGAAATTCTGAGAGTAATTTCTTTTCCAAGGACTTACTCAATTTTGAGACCATTCGCCTTCACTGAGATGGTAAGTTTTAATTTCAAACAATGCACCAATGTTTACGGATTTTATTTTTTTCTACAGAATTTTATTTTTTCCTGGCAATACATGGTTATCGTTTTCCTTTCCATATTTGCCTTGTACTTCTCGTAGAAAGAAAACCATTGAAATTTATAGCGTCCTTAAGATGTGGTGTAAAATTGCATAGCCCGACTGTTTAATAATGACATATGCTCCTGCTAAGAGTAAGGAGAGTGGGGGAGGGGGCGGTGAGTAAACCTTGAAAGGATAAAGTATGGTAATTCTTTTGGTTATTTCAAAGATTAAAGAACTTATTTTCAAAATTTGTGGCGAGTGACTCAAAAATTCATGATCTGTCGTTCTGTTCAGTGGCTACGTAAGTTAAAATCTACCTCCTGCGGAGATTTTGTTATGTTATTTTTGCTAAAAAATTACAATAACAAGTTTCATGCAAGAATAAATGTCATAGCTCAACGACAAAAATGTAACAAAAAAAATAGAAGGAAACAAAAGTTTCAAAGTTAAAGATGATAGCTGCGATAGCAAACAATTTCATGGCAGTAGCGAGACAAGAATAATATTAAGCAAAATTTGGTTTATTCGTGATAAATTATTTACCTTGAACGGAAGCTCTTCGCATGGAACACTGTTTTAATTAAAGATGTCATGAAGAGTTGTTTTCTAAAAATTACTCTGTTTTCATCATTTAACAAAGACACTTATCTCTTCCGCATGGTTCCTTTTAATACTCTAAATAAGACCCAATTGCGTGTGAAACCTATCCGCGTATGTGTCATCACATGTTGTGTTCGGCGCATTAAGTTTGCCTGAACGGACACTAATACTGTGTTTATTTCTTAACAGTTTTTCTTGGTCCTAGTTTTCATTCTTTGCCAAGTACAAGCTCGAGGTATTTGATGAATTTTCCTCGCAAGTTTAAAATTCCGAGGATTTACCCTTAAAGTTATGTTATGGTCAATTTTTACAATGAAATCTATTTCTTGGGGATAAAGTTACGATCAAGGTCCGTGCCTTTGAGCTATTGTATAACAGAAACGTGAATGGACCCTTATTGCAAACAAACGAAATAAGCGAAATTTTTAAAGCTCTTCCTAAACTTTTTATTACAAAAAAATTCCAAAATTCAAAATGCCGCAATTCTTTACTAACTTGTTTTGTAATCTTTTTTTTTGGACATAAACAATTGGGCACCCATTGTTATTCCTTGTCAATATTTTTCATCAATGTTTTTAGATATGATTCAAAATAGCACCTGCCTTATTCCATATTTTTATTATTACCTGGATTTAAGGTTTTTGTAATGAGAGAGATGTCTGACTTCATCAGAAGAGCGAATTGAATCCATCTCGACAGTAAAATTGGATGTCTTACAACGGTTCATGGAAGCTGTAAATGTACTGGGTGCATCTATGACATTTCCTAAGAATCGTCTCTTTTGTTCAGTGGCTCTAATTTTTCGAAAAGGAGTAATAAAGGGTATAGACTACTTCAATTTATAAGATATACCTGCAGTTCATACGTCATGGATTAGGCTCGAGTGTAATAAAAGCCCAAGTATGTAATTCAAATGGCAGAAATTTTTAAAAAATATGTAATTAATAAGCTTAGGAATGGAATTTTTTTTGTTTCGGCGTACCAAAATCACACGTAGAGTTAACGTGCAAACATCGAATGGTGGCTTGGATTGCCACGTGTCACAATTCCTTAAATATCCTCCCATGCCACTCAGCCCAAGCTAATCAACCTGCCGTACACGAGCGGATTCAAAGCTCTCGCATGAAATCGAGGCACGAATTCAGTTAATCCAAAATGGCGCCAAAACACTGAGATTAAAGCATCCAGAGAAGAAGTGACACAAGTAGTCTCCGATTTGCTAACTTCAAACGTAAAACATCAAAAGTTTAGGTTCAGTTAAAATCATCCACCTAGATGATTCAGACGGATAAAATACTCTTGGATTTCTTGAGACAAAGAAAAAAGGCGCAAAGCAAAACAAACAGATAAGTGCGTGGCAATCATCATTGAATACTGCACGGTTTTTTAGTTAATTAAAACGTTCGGTAGCCGGCGGAAACCTTTCGACCAAATTGGGGTTTATTTAGGTTACTTAAAGAAAAGAAGGTCACGGGGCCCAGTAAAAACTGTATTTATCTTATGGCCGATATACAGTCGGTGTGCGATGATTATTTAAATTTCTAAGAAAATCATTCGTCTATGTATGTATCTTTCCATTCACTCTCGAGAGAGAAAATTCCCCAAGGGGCTTTTGACTCATTTAATCGCTTGCTAATCATCGTTTTTCTATGGGTAGAAGTTTTCAATTATTGTACTGACGTGTTTTGCTTTTGTCTTTACTCTAGCACCCAGTAAGCCTCCACAAAACGTGACAGCTGAGAGATTAAAGGCTGCAGAATCCATCAACGTCTCCTGGAATGAAGTGCCGTTTGGTCACGTGAATGGTCTGTTGATGGGATATTCCATAAAGTACCAAAGAGTGAAAACAGCCGAGAAATGTGTAGTTCACTTGAATGATACGGACATAGCAAACTCAACTGATCCCTGGATAGTACTCAATGTTCAAACCTACTCGGTTTATAAAATTAAGGTGGCAGCTCGTACTCAAAAGGGCCTGGGGCCTTATAGTAACTATACCTATGGTGGTAGGTATAGGTATAAATAATTCGGAATAGCTTAACGCTGTAATCACTGAGCGAATGCTTGAATAGCTATCCTCTCTGAATTACAGATGTTTGGACTTATCCCCTCCTTAACATGTCATGTCAATATTGAGAGATTCATCATTTTTAAACACAGGGTGGGGTGGGGGGGGGGGAGATTTTGGAGGATCACACGATTTTGTGGGGGAATGGTTAGAGTGGACTATAGAACATTGTCTTCTTATGAATGCTACTGAGCCTTATGGGGGATCAGGTAAATGTTATTATGATAGAAGTAAAGTCTTACGGACCCCACTTCCCTGGCGATGAATAATTATCGGTCCCTAACAATTTGGTGAATATCTCTCATCCATATTTTCATTTACTTTAAAGAAACCTGTCGCTGTCCAAAGACTCTTTACACGAACTATTGGTCAACTCCGCCGTATCTAAAAGTGAATCTAAAAGGAAACACTATGGATGGCATTTTTAGTCACATTGTCGTAGATATGATCTATAGAGCTTGTGGAGAGTGTCCTGCATACGGTTTCACCGAAATCAACTTGACTTCAAACGGAAATGGTCAGCGATCCGGCAAGGAAAGCCTTGTAGACGTTCTTGGTGACATCGATGAAGTTCCACAAATAAGTTTTCCAATCTACGGCAACAGATACGTAACAAGATTTGGGGGCGTTCACCGCTATGTTAATCTTGTGGAGTCCCCTGGGTTGGCTTTTGTCGCCGCCAAGAAGAGTCCAGGAGCAGCTGCAAGAAACATTGTAAGCGCTGTGTTTTCGTGCCTTCCACTGGTACTACTGTTTGCATGTATGGCCTTTCTTTCCGGGTTCATTATATGGCTTTTGGTGAGTATCTAGTATTTCGCTGTTATTCATTTAAAAAAACGAAAGCTTTTTAGGAGTAGAGTTTTGGACTCAACTTCACACACTTCTTAGATAATGCAATAATGGTAATTGTGATGTGAATATTGTTTTTTCTGGAAAAAGTATGGATATTATAGGGAGAAATTGCATGTCAATCACCTTTAGGAGTTCAAGGGTTAACTGAGTCTATGAACCACCCACAAGGAAGTATATCGCTTTCGTGGATTGCACCTCAACAGTGCTGTGTACCTCATAACCTAAGTAGAATTCAAACTTTTATTCGTTTTGTTTTGTTTTTTGTTTTTTTTTTCATAATTGAAGTTAAATCATTGGGAATGTTTCTCTCGTCCTCGTTCCCTATCTCATTATTCAGGATATGAAGAACAACCCAGATCAGTTTCCAGCCTGTTTTAGCAAAGTCATCGGTGAAGGATTCTGGTGGTCGTTCGTCACCATGACTAACGTTGGGTAAGCAAACCCTTAACATTTTTTTATTAGTGCCGAATCTCTTATCGGTGTTTACTTCTTAGCAGCCCTTTTTCGTTATCGTGAACCCAAGCCCCTCTTCTCCTCTCTGTATGTTCACTTGACTGTCTGTCTGTTTTTGTTTTCAGCTATGGAGAGCGTTCCCCCCGTTCTGTTCCTGCCCGTATTTTTGGTATCGCATGGATCCTCACTAGAATCGTTATTATCTCAATTCTTATTAGTGCAATTGCGTCGGCGCTGACGATTGTCAACGTTCCATACCCAATCATATTGTACGGTGCAAAGGTGCGTTTCGATTGCAAATACATAATCAGTTTTCTTATACACGCGGCACAGCAGGCTACATGGCATTACTTCATCTTACTTTGCTAACTAATTGAAATCTCAAGCTGCTTGTCTCCAGTTTTATCTAAAAACAAAGGAATGGACTCCTTTTCCTTCAGGGACTGTAAATTACGTATGCCGTATATCAGAATCTAATGGGAACTGAAAACTGGTTCATGAACTGCATGAGAAGATGTAGCGATCGCATTACTGATGGTCTTGCCACGGAAATAGTTACAGACATAGTTACAGCATCGTTACGGAAATAATAACCTTCATTGTTACTGGAAATGACTATTTTACAGACTTAGCGTAATCGAGCATGCCCTTTTAAAACGTTCAGTAAATATCAGTTCTGATGGTATTTCTTTGAATTTAACTTAGATTGGAGTAATTCAAAACTCCACGGAACATCGAATTGGCACCCGAAAGAATGCAAGAGTAAATGAAGGTAAAAACATGAATCCCTAATCCCAACTGGTCATTAAGATATTTTGTGAGTATATCTGGTGGGTTGCAAAAATGGAGGGGCTCCGAAGCCTGCTTGCGAGAACGCGAGTTGCGCGCGCGCTTAAAAGCTAACATGCACGAGAGACATAGTTTGAAGCTACTCTGGTTTGCAGATTTAATGAAGAAGAAGTTACAATTCATAGACCCAACGTTCAGAAAAAAGGCCGCTAATAAGTATCATATAAAAGGACCTCTTGTTGCAGCGTTTAGATCACCCCTGATGAAGGCACTGACAGGAGTGTCGAAACGTTGGGTCTATGAATTGTAACTTCTTCGGTTACATTCATTAAATCTGCAAACCAGAGTAGCTTCAAACTATGTCTGATTGTCCACCTGGTTGCCGTGTGAACTTTAATATATGCACGAGAGAGATACCGAAATAAACAGAAGTAACCAAGTCACGATTCGCTATAGTTTTGCATGTGATTGGCCGCGAGAATGGAGTGTGCTATATTAAATGACCAATCGCGAAACAGAGTAGAACAAAATTTAGCAATCCGAAATCCTTTCGACCCTTATTTAGGAGCTGAAATAACCTGTAATAGTCCTTCAGATTAGAATTTTAAAATGGGCAAGGCAAAAATTTTTTTTCTTATTGTTTTTTTCCACAGAAAAGAACTATAAAAATCTTGAAGAAATTCGTGCAGCGCTCGAGGATGGAGAAATTGAGGGTGCCCTTATAGACACCTACGTTGCTGCAGATCACAAGAGCGAACTTTTCAGTGACAGAATTTATGTGAAGGAGATTTTGAACCAGCCACTTGGCTATGGAGTTGTTCTTTCAGGAGCAGCAGTGAATGTGGAGCAGAGATGTCGGGACTTCATCAACCTGTACATGAGTAATATATTCCACATGATAAGCATCTCGACAAAGAAACTTGATGTAAGTGAAATTCATAGTTGTTACTTTAATATTTTATAGTAAAGTTCAATAACACGCGCTGTCACCAGCTGAAAGAGAATACTGTATGAGAGCATGGAGCATTGAGCTGAGCTAAGTTGTCTCGCCATCTGCCAAGCTGTACCATGTCCAACCTTTTCCTGGACTTCTCTCCAGCCTTTTTTTCGTTAACTGAAAGTAAAATTTCGGAATAAGTGAGCCAACAAGAAGCGACAGAAGAACCCAACAAAGGTTTGCAAACATGCTAGGTGCCGTAATTTGTGTTATTACAACGTGAGCAGAGACGAAAATCCTCAATGAGAAAGTGAAATGGACAGTCCGAGTTTTGAAGGTTTTCATCCTCCCTATAATTTCTTCGTGCTGTAGCCGCTTCCTGCGTGCTTTTACAACTGCACAGAGCACAATCAAGGCTTCCCTATTTGTTAATTAAAGGCTTAGTTAATGCAACCAATAGTGACTCTTTAAAATGGAGTTGTATTTCCTAGGTGGACTCATTATCAGTGATAAAACCAGGGAGAAGTACGTGGTCCGGACCACAACCCTACCCCCATCAGACCAATGAATGTTTGCAAACTTCTTCCATCACCAGGGTCTTATATTAATGCTCAACCTAAGATATTTTAAATCTAAGGGACAGTCATAATTTCCCGTCAGAGTGGGAAGTGGGAATAGTATTATTTGGATGTGTCACAATAACATTTGCCTGATCCTACCCAAAGGCTCTGTAGTATTCTAGTTATCCCCTACATTGCCAGTCAATTTTCCATAACCCCACTACCCTCCCCTATAGGTTGTAAAATCGCTTCTCCTCCCTCTCCCCTTTCTGTTCTGTTAGCGACGACTGACCCTCTCCCTTCCCCCCTGAAAACCGTGCGATCCCCCCAAAACCTCAAGCTCCTTGCAGGTGATCAATAATGGCTGGTCACATATTATACCTGGCCCGTATAATTTTTTTCTTTGACTGTATTTTTTAATTGATTAAAATACTTTCGTGGTTGTTGTTGTTGCTGTTGTTGTTACTGTCGAGTTTTCCTTTCTGTGCTTATTTCTTGTGGTCTCTCGCAGCCTGCTCCTTCAGATGAAAATGTGGAATCAAGTACAGACTTGTTCGACGGTTCCTCCGATATGTTCCGCATGGCCTTAGCTTACTTGTGTGGAATGCTTGGATTAGCAATCATTGCTGGGATAACTTACCACTATCTAATTTTCGTTCCACGCCAAAAGAGAGGTAAGACGTCTTATCTCTTATCTTGAGTGAATATTTTTCAGGAATAAGTACAGGTAAAATCGTTTCTAAGCATTCTTGTACCAGATATTTCATGGCCAATCAGCTGTTACACCGTAGGATCTTGGTACGAGATTAATTACAGGCAATCATAGCGCTTTGAAGTTTGGCTACTAAGGAATTGGAATTCTTACCTATTAACCCAACAACTCCTAGAAGTGATTAACATGCATCTTGTACCTATAAGGAAAGAGAGAAGCAATTCAGGATAATAACACAATTGAATTACGTGACAGAGTCACTGGTCACGGTGTATTTTAGAATGCGCCTTTATTGCCGGTTACACCGAATAGAATCCTGGGGTTCCGTTCTGAATTGTTCATAGAGGTTTGAATAGCGTAAGCTGTCAGAACTCAAATATGAAATAACATAAGCCAAATTTTTTAAATGAGTTTGCATTATAATATTGACCTAGAGCTAATCAAATTATGATATTCGATACGTTTTGTTGACGTCTTTCGTCACGAGATAGTAAAATTTGCCAAATTTTGGCCTTCTGAAATGTATAAAGTATTAATCCGTGTGGTCTAAAGCTCTCTCCTACTATATTTCCAACTTAAATGGTTAAAATCAAAGATTTCTCGAGCTACTTATATAAAACGGTCGGAGGTTGCTCAATGAACTTATTTGCATAATCGGCTGTCACGCTAGCGAAATCGGTAAAACTTTAAAGTCACCACGGTGAGGAAAATTGATAAGTGCAGGATGTTTTTATGTTTTTCTGCAGCCAAACGTCTTGTTATAAGAAATAAAGCGGAGTTTTCAATGGTCTGGTCTGGAATTGAGCGATATCAACCAAGAAAGAAACAGTCCTTTTGACCAATTTGAGAAAGCTGTCTAACGAGTGTTTTTAAATAAATTATGACGAACCTCTGAATAAACGAATATCAAAATTGAAATACTTTTTATACACCTTACATATCACACAGTCTAAGAATACAAAAGATTTTTTGCTGCATGCGGTGTGATACGAGGACCGGACTTTTCAACTTTTGAAGTTTTCGATGTCATAAGAGGTCAAAAAAGGGCCTTTGGAAGTTTTTATTATTTAGAGCTCTAAAAATTTTATTGTAATGTATTTCCAGAAACTAATGTGGTTTTATTTACTTGCTACCAAAGATAGTCTATTGGGCAAAGTTTGAGAGAAAACTTTTTTCCGATGCGAAATGCACTGGACCGCTCTTAAAGAGATCGCTACTTAACAATCAGATCTTGGGAGTTTAGTGGTCAAATAATTAAATGTTACAATTGCATTTCCTTATTTTACTGACTATGGCTCCTTTGCAGCATAGTGTTGACAGGAAGACATTACATTCGCCCCCACTTTTGGCATTTTTTTGGGGATGGGGTGGGACAGGCTTTAATAGTTACGAGCAGCGCGTTTTTTTTTTATTCTTTATCGTAAATTATTGTAAGCTCCAACCTGTAATTTTGGACTCATTGATAATTAATTATTATATCATTAATCGCCAGTAAATATCCTCAACTTATCTGTTTTTTGTTCAGTTGACAGGCTAAAAGCATCTTCATCCCAACTTGCTCAGAAAAAAGCCCTAGTTGCAGAAATGAGAGATTTTGTACGCATTTTTCACTCACAGATGTCCACTCGAATATCTTCAGAGATGGATAAGTGTAAACAAGTATTAAGAGACATAAGAGAGGAAAGAAACATTTCTAAACAAGGCGGTGCAATGTTAAAAC